TTTTGGGGGGGGGGGGGGGGAGGCGAGAGTGAGAAGTGGTTGTTTGTTCTGGTGGTTGTCTTGAACAGATGGCCATTAGAACAGGTTCAACTGTGTTACTCTTGCAGTCCACAAAGGGTGATTGAAAGATTTCAATACTGCTGTGAGGAGCAACTTTATTTCCTTTTTTGGAAACTATTTTTATGAGCAAGCAGCCCACATGGGCTTCTTCAAGCACATCCTCATTTTTATTTCTTTTTCTACCAAGAATTTCTTAGCGGGAAAAGAAATCAAATGAGGTTTGAAGAAACCCACTTGGACTCCTTGCTGATAAAAACAATTAGGAAGAAACAAACATAGTTTCCAGGACACTTGAATAGATGTAAGAGTCATCTAGCTGTCACTGGCAAAATGGAAGGTAAATGAGGCATGGATAGACCCATAGCAACTTACTTGGAGTTGGAGAGCCTGACTAATGCATAATGGGGAAAGATCAGGATAGTATAGCTTTTCTGAGAGAAAATGAACAAAGGAATGAATGGAAAACCATGATTGCCAATTTCTGTCACATATCTGGCACTTGTTGATGATGATGATGGATAGTAGTTAGTGGGAGATGCTCTGGTGTGGATTTTCTTCTTCCATTTCTTTTCAGAGTTATTGTTTTCCTAATCACTTCCAAATGATTGAAATGAGTTGTGTGACATTGCAATTCAAATCCGCTATTTAAAAACAGTTTCCTAGCACTTTATAACCATGATCATGTTATTATCTTTAGTATATATATATATATATATATATATATATATATATATATATAAAAACATAAATATGAAATATTTCAACTATGATGTGACTGAGCCATTCAGCTTTGATTTAATGCTTTTAGAGTTGTTTCTGCTCAGTGTATCAGTCCATCTATATCAAATCACTTCAGTGAAACCCTGGCAGCTCCTTAGTTACACAATAGTGGCCAATACACAATGTGATTGAGCACAGTGCTTTGTATAGCACAAACAATTCCTAACTACCCCCTTGCTTTCTTAATATTCTTTTCAGAGGAACTGGCTAAGAGGAAGAAAGCGTACTCTGATCTGGCTAAGGACGTGAACAACATCAAAGTTTCCATTGACCAAACTAGGCAAAAGCTGGAACAGCTTAGACAAATTAGGGAAGCTGAGGGTGAGACTTGCATTTTTTTACTTCCGTTATACAGTGGAGTCTGCTCAACTCTTTATCTCCGGGTTGAGACTTGCACTTTTTTGCACTTCTTTATTCAGTGGTGTCTGCTTAACTTTTTATCTCCGAGGAGGGTAAACCCACTATGCCAGGGCCTTCTTTTGGTACAAAATCTTAAAGTGACAAATATACCTGACTAAATTTTTCATTAAATCAAAACAAGTGAACCTGTTTTGATAGTTCTTCATCTAATGAATAAGCTCCCGGTAAAAGAGACCTGTTTTCAGCAATTGCCGAAAAGTTGTAAAGGAATCTTTTGATACAGAGAGGTCACTCAAATAGAAGAAAAAAATAGGGGATTTTGTTTTCTTTCGATTTACTGCTATTTTTGCATCAACTACGAAATCAGTTTCAGTGGACTCCATTGTAGTTCCTTGCTCTAAGACTCACAAATTCGACACTGTAATAGATAATTTAAGCCTGTATTTTTAATGTAACTCTGAAATTTAATTAGCGGTCTTGTAGGCCTACCTCTTTTGTCATGACTGGGTGAGAAAATATGTGAAAAAAGAAAGATAATGATCCGAGGTTGGACTCAGGTGAGAGTTATGTGTGTGTATGTTTGAGAGAGAGAGAGAGAGAGAGAGAGAGAGAGAGAGAGAGAGAGAGAGAGAGAGAGAGAGAGAGAGAGAGAGAGAGAGAGAGAGAGAGAGAGAGAGAGGGTTAAAAAAAAATTATCCCCTGTTTTTCTCCATTCCCCCTCTCTCTCTCTCTCTCTCTCTCTCTCTCTCTCTCTCTCTCTCTCTCTCTCACTTTCACTCGCACTCACACGTGAATATCGGTATAAATGCACACATATCTTCTCATAATCACAGACAATTTCTTAATGTGCGGAACGGGGGAGGAGCGGTTATTCAAATCAGATTAGATTCATTTTCAGTACAGATCAGAGAACTCATAAGTGTTCTCCCGTTCTTGATCTCTTACAGACTAGCGTCAAGACTCGTAATTGGATGAAGAAAGAATACATGGGAATTTGCGTGTTTCTAAGTTGTTAGAATCGCCGGCCATGTCAAGAAGTGGGCAGACCC